CCAGTGACCACCACTGAATGGGAAAATGATGGCTGTTGGGTGGCTGGGTGGATTCAGGACAGAGCCCTAGAAGATTCACTGGTAAAGAGAACTCGCACACACCTAGTACTGCTGCGTGCCCAACCCTTTCCTGGTTTCATCTAATCCTACGACGCCTTTGCCGGAGGGGCATTTTATTTTTCCCCTTTTACAGATGAGGAAACTGAGGTTTGCAGAGGTTGAATAGTGCTGCCCAAACTTATGTCCACCCAGGAGCTCAGAATGTGACTTTATTTGGAAATAGAGTCTTTGTAGATGTCATTACTTAAGATGAGGTCAAACTGATTAGGGCGGGCTCTAAATCCACTGACTAGCGTCTTTATTAAAAGGCCGTTGTCCAGCCAGTGTGGCTCAGTGGATTGTGTCGTCCCATAGACTGAGAGGTCCTGGTTCGATTCCGGTCAGGGTACATGCCTGGGTTGCAGGCTCGATCCCCAGTGGGGGCCGTGCAGGAGGCAGCCGATCGGTGTCTCTCCCTCACATTAATGCTTCTCTCTCTCTCCTTTCCTTTGTCTCTAAAAAAAATCAATAAAAATATATTTTTTTAAAAAAGAGTCCAGCCCTGGCTGATTTGGCTCAGCAGTAGAGCATGGGCCCGCAGACCAAAGAGTCCCGGGTTCGGTTCCAGCTAGGGGCACATACCTTGGTTGCAGTTCGTCCCTGGCCCTGGTTGGGGTCATGCGGGAGGCAGTTAGTCGATGTGTCCCTCTCATGTTGATGTTTCTCTCTCTCTCCCTTTCTCTCCCTCTCACTATCTGAAGATAAATAGAAAAATATCCTCGGGTGAGGATTTAAAAAAAAAAAGAAGGTCATGTGAAAAGAGACAGACACAGAGGGGAGCTGTGTGATAATGGAGGCAGAGTGACGCAGCTGTAAGCCAAAAAAAATCAAGAATGCTGGCAACACCAGAAGCCGGGAAAAAGGCAGATGAATTCTTTCCTGGCACCGTCAGGGAGAACGTGGCCCTGCCGATGCCTTGATTTCAGATCTCTGGCCTCCAAACTGTGAGAGAATCGATTTCTATTGTTTTAAGCCACCAAGTTTGTGGTAATCTGTCATGGTGTGCTGGCATGTTCATAACCCCATAATTGATGATTGGTAAATTATTGTGCTGCTCCATAATTGATGATTGGGAAAGTCACTGTGTGCCTTCTAGCTGAACCTGTTTAGTCAAAATAACCTCAGTAAATTGGAATACTCCCTGAACCAAGAAATTGTTGGGAGCCGGCTACGTGTCTGACAGAGTCCATGGAGCCTGGAGGTCTTGAGTTAGAGACTCGACCTCCCCCACAATCTCAAGGAATTAGGCTTGCGCTGTGTTTGTGCAGCTTGGGGCTAATGTACCTTGAAATACCTGAAATACCTGGGTGTTCCTGGGTGTGCCCGGGTGTTCCTGGGTGGGCCTGTTATCCGTAAGGCAAATTAATTCTACACAGCCTTGCTGTGGCCCTGGGCATTGTGTCAAGAAGATCCTACTTGCTGTAAGGTATGAGAGGCATGTGATAAAGCTTATGGGGCTGATTCCGAAGACTCTGTCACCGGGGTGTTCGGAATCAGACACCGGCCGGCTGATAAACGGCTCGTATTTGGACTTCGGTTCTCTGGGGGTCTTTCTTTGACTCTGTCGCCACAACATTTGGAGGCCCCAGGGCTCGTCTCCGAGAACTCGGGATCAGTTGCCGGCTGGCTTTGCTCTTTTTTTTTTTTCCATTTTTTGTTCAGGTAGAGTGGGAGGGAGAGAGAGGAACAGAGAGAGAGAGAGAGAAACATCATCGACGTGAAAGGGACACATCGAGTGGCTGCCACCTGCACAACCAACCAGGGCCAGGGACAAACTGCAACCGAGGTACGTGTCCTTAGCGGGAACTGAACCTGGGTCTCTCCGGACCACAGGCAGATACTCTAACTGCTGAGCCAAACCGGCCAGGGCCTGGCTTTGCTCTATACTTGGCTTTAATTTGGCTCTGGTGGTCTCTCGGTTCTCTCGTGCCACAGAATGGCAGCCACAGAGAACTAATACAGCTACCATCATTTGCCTACATTTGCTCACCCAGAAGTGGCAGATCCAGGGGATTCGAAAACAGGTCCTAAGCCTATTCCTGGCAGGAGGCTGACAACCTGTTCCTGCTGAGCCAGCTACCAGGGAAATTCCCTCCAAAGAGCTTCCTCCTTCCTAGTAAGTCCAAAACCCTCCTTCTTTGCAGTGGCTGCCAGGAGACTCTGTCATTTGGCTACTTTCTGAAGTGTCATCAATCCTGGGCTTGGACTATCTCCCTGGTGGACAGAGAAGAAGCCCAAAGGTAGGACAGGTCTAGTTCTAACCACAGACACAGCTCTCCACCCCACCTGCTGAGTCATCTGGACCTTGGTTCCCTGTCACTCCCTCTGGGCCACCACATGGGTGGCCAAAGGCTTGAGAAGCCAAAGGTTGGGCTGTCACTGCTATTTATCTCCTGGTTGTCTCCAGAAGGGCCTGGGGTTTGGCTGTTTCCTGCCACTTTCTGGCTCCTCAACCTCTACCTCACGGGGTACACAATGAGTAGGGCTGCCCCAAGAGACCTATTACAAGCCCCTGAGTGTCCATATCAACTAAGTGGGCAAATTCACAGCCCACTACTGCATGGGTCTCCACAAACACAGCTCTGCTACCCTGGACAACTCCAGGGGGTGAGGCTGAGACAGGCTAGTAAGCCAGGACAGCAGAATGGGGTAACAGAGACGGATAGTTAGCTGGCCAAGCAGTTTGCAGCCAACTAGTAAATTCTGTCTTCCCTAATCAAAGACACTTAAAGTGTTTTGTACTTCTCCTCCTCAATCAGAAGGTAAATAGCTTAAATCACCCTGCTCAAGGAGAGAGAGAGCCAAAATCCAACTAGTGCCCGTTTGTGCCAATCACACCAAGGAGAGATGAAGTTAAGAGAATAAATCTCATCTTTGTGCATCAGCATAAAACTGATGAGTATTCTGTTAATCCACCCCTAAGACCTTCCCTAAACTCCCAGTCTTTAAAAATTCTCAAATCCCCCGACTGGAGTGGCTCAGTGGTTGTGTGTTGACCCATGCACCAAGAGGTCGCTGGTTCAATTCCGGGTCGGGGTACATTCCCAGATTGTGGGCCAAATCCCCAGTGGTGGGCATATAGGAGGTGACCAACGATGTTCTCTCTCATCGATGTTTCTGTCTCTCTCCCTCTCCCTTTCTCTCTCTCTAAAATCAACAAAGGAAAAAAGAATTAAAAATAAAATATAGCCCTGGCCGGTGTGGCTCAGCGGTAAGAGTGTCACCCACGGACCAGAGAGTCCTGGATTCGGTTCCTGCTAAGGGCACGAACCTCGGTTGCAGTTTGTCCCTGACCCTGGTTGGGGTCGTGTGGGTGGCAACCAGTGGATGAGTCTCTCTCACATCGATGTGTCTCTCTCACATCGATGTTTCTCTCTCTCGCTCTCTTCCTCCCTCTGTTCCTCCAGCTCTGTCTGAAGAGTAATGTAAAAAATATCCTTGGGTGAGGATTAAAAAAATAAAATGAAATAAAAATCCTCAAACCGAAGGTCCCAGAGCGTGCACACCCCTGCTTTTCCCTTCCTTGTCTTCCCCCAGAAGTGTACATCTTCTAGACTCTAAGGGTCCCCATGAGACTCCAAGCAGCTCATCCCGGGCTAACCCTCTGAACCTGTCTCCAAGGCCTATTTTCTCTGACTCCTTAGTGAGCCAGAGCAGCCCTGCCTAGGCTCATTCCCCACCTAGTCCCTCTCCTGTGTCATCTTCTGTCCTAGGTTCTTCCTTGTTTCACTGTCCCCAGTTGTAATAAATGTCCTCTCAATCACCTGGAGTCGTATTGTAAAATCTTTCCTGCACAAAGCCGAGAACCCACACACTACCTGCCAGCCCTAGGCAGATTGGCTCAGGGCCAGGTCCCGTTTCTGGTAGCAGGGCCAGCATCCTTTGGTTAAGTACACATGACGACTAGTGAGGGAGAACGATGCCCCGCTCCCGATGGACGTTACAGCCCTGGCTCTGGGGGCTCCTGCCCAAATCCGTTAGGCCAGAAGAGTCCCCAGGCGCCAGCTCAACTTAACCACCCCCACTAGGAGGCCTAGGGAAACCCATCTAGGGATGTGGGCCCAGACACCACCCTCCCCTTTTTCCTGGAAAAATGTCCTCTAGGAATCTTCCAGCCAGGGACACAGAGGGTGAGGTGGGGGGTGAGGAGTAGACTCCACAGGACTCTAAGCTCTGGGCACCTTCCCTCTGCCGCTGCCTTGTTTGCCCCCTTCACAACACGAGGTGCACCCCTCCTTTCCCTCACCCCACACCCCAGACCCCACCTCAGTTTGCTCACATTGGAGGTGACCATGTCCAGGCCTGGCTCAACCCCTGGAAGGATACGGTCAGGATCTGGGAGCCCTCCCAGCTCTGGCTTCAGCCCTGAGTATGAGGGGAGGGAGAGGAGTTTCTTACCAGACTGCCAGCTCAGGACAGGGGGTCTGAAAGGTCCCTGGGCTCTGGGGCTGCTGTTTAAATCTCTGGCCCTGTCACCACCTCGTCAGTTTAGAGACAGCGTCGTGTCCCTAAGGGAAGGCAGGCCAGGCAGTCAGGCAGGTTTGCCAGAGAGGAAACCTGTGGTGCCAAGGTGGCCCCAGGAAAGTGTTGGCAATAGAGGCGGGGGGGAGGGGAGCCTCCGGGGCCACCAGCAGTTGCCAAGAGAGAAGAGAGCCAAGGAGAGAAAGGCCCCAGGAACGGTCCAACCAGGCAACAGGGGTTGGGGTTCAGGGGGTAGTCAGGATGAGGACACTGCCTTGTCTCAGGGGCTCAGCCCAGACACACTCCTGGTCAGGTGGGGCTTCCTCAGTGAAGGAGCCTGACTCTGCCCTCATCTCACTGTGGGCCCTTAGACTGTTCCCCTCACCTCCCACCACCCTTTCTGCACCTGTACCCAGGCATACTGACCTCACAGGCTGGACATGCCCTCCTTGCTGACGCAGTTGGGGCTGGAGCCTAGTGCCCCACATGCCCTCTACCCAAGGAGTGTGATGGACCCAGAGGTGAGTGGGGGCTGCAGGGGGCAGCAGGCCTCCAAAGAAAGCCCCAGAGTGCTGCTGAGGGAGACCCCAAGGAGATGGAAACAATCCTTGAGCTGCGTAGGTCCCTAGCTCAAGCCTGGCCCTGGGAGGAGCAAAAGCTCCCCCTTCTCACACTGCCCCCACACTTGTCAGGCAGGAAAACCCAAAGCCAGGGGCAGGTGCAGCTTGCCTGTGCCAGCCTGCCCAGAGCTGGGCTTAACCGTTAACCAGCATTCCTTATCCCGTTTATCTCCCGGGTTTGAGATCAGAGACTTGGGTCAGAGGGGCTGGGCTCTATTCTGCCTCCCCAGCCAAACAGAGAGGGGCAGTAAATATTTGTCTTTGTAGGAGTGTCCAAGCAGGGTGTACGGGTCAGATACTACAATTGCTCTCTGTCGGGCACTGCCTGAGGCTGGCAAGCGTTCAGAGGAACCCCCATTCACCCCGCCCTGACGCCAAGTCCAGTGCTCCTCGCACCGCCAAAGCGACTGTTCCACAGTCAGCCCTGTGGCCAGAAGGGTTCAGAGGCGCCAAGCGCCACCTCGTCCTGGCGGGGCTCAGCGACACCCCCGCCTTGAGGACAGAGCTCCAGATCCAGGTCTAGCTCGGGCGGGGGCCTCTCTTCGCAGATCCCCCAAACCAGGTGTTTGGGAACCCCGGGGCCCCAGCAGGACCGCCACCCAGCCCCTTCCCCGGCTCTGGTGCGCCAGGGATGCGGCCTCGGACCCGCCGCTCCCCACCCGGCGCAACTCAGGCCGGGGGCGGGGCCGGAGCGCCGGGGGCGGGGCGGGCTCAGACGGGGTAGCCTCCCGCCCGCCGAGCGCCCGTCGCCCCGCAGCCACGGGGGCGCAGCTGGGCCGGCAGCCCCGACCCAAGGCGGCTCGGAGGCCGGGGCGGCGGCGGGGTGGGGCCCGCGCCCTGTGAGCGCCGCGTGCGCTGGCTCCGCGAGATCCAGTCCACGCTCCGCGAGCGGCGGCCCGAGCGCGCCCGGCAGCTGCTACGCCTCCTGTGCCAGGCGCGAGAAGGAGCTGGAGGCCAGGGAGGGGCCCGGGGCTGCGGGCAGCGGGCCTGGAAGGGGCCAGGAGGTGGGGATGGCCCGACGGGCGCGCAGGCCCGGCGGATTCTGAGCGGAGAGTACGACTGGCTGCAAGGGTGGGAGTCTTGTCTGGGCGAGACAGAAGGCAAGGGAGGGAGGGCAGCAGGCTAGAGCCAGGCCAGGAGAACTGGGAGTGTGGAGGCGAGGGCAAGCCAGTGTCCATGCCTCTGGGCTCTGAGGTCAGTTGTGTTGAGGGTGCTCCAAGCCAGGAGCCTAGAGCCCAGATTCAGGCCTGGGCAGGAAAGGAAGGGGTGCTGGAAGGAGTGGCAAGTGTTGGCGTCTTGTATTTGAGGGGCAATGGGACATCCTCAGCTCTCCCCTCCTCCAGGGTGAGGGGAGGCACTGGACCCTGGGAAGCAGGAGCCCAGCAGGTCAGCGGATGCATCCTCACCATGACACCGTGGCAGCCCAGGCAGAGCGCAGCACCCACTGAGTTCACACCCCTGGCATCTGTACATCACACTACATCTGGACAGGCCCGGTTCTGGTCCCACACACACCGGGTTCTTGAGTCCCAGCTCCCAATCCCTGGGTTGCCCTAGCTCTGGGTTCTGGTGCCAGCATCACCACTAGGCAGGCCACTTGCTTTTCTACCTACATCCCTACCCCTGCCCCATCCTGTAAGCGGGAATCAGAAGTGCATGTCTTTGGCCTGCAGGTGGATGATGAGAGATGGGGACTGAGGCTTGGAGAAAAGTAGTGAGCCTAGGGCCACAGAGCGGATTGGGGACCAGCCAAGCCACAGCCCAACCCCAGCCTCCCAGTCCTGCTTTTCCTGCTGCACTCTACTCTGGCCCCAGCTGGCTGGAAAGGTGGGAGCTGGCCCTTTAAGAGGAGCTGTCCAGACCAGCAGAAAGCAGGCTGTGGTCTGGGGCCCTGTCTGGGTCAGTCCAGGCTCCCTTGCTGGCACCTGTGACATGAACGTTATGGTGTTTAACATGCAAGCAGGAGAGCAGCAGTGAATCAGCCAGACTACCCAGAGGCACAGATCTCTCTCTGGGATGGCACCTGAGCCCAAGGCACCAGCTGGGCATTGTAGCTGGGAAACCAGCTAGGTTGCCCCCTGTTGTCCCAGGGGTTAGGATTTGAGGCCCAGTGAGAGGCCTGTCCTGCCCCATAAGCCACAGGGACTCTGCAGTCATGGCCTTTGGGAATTCCCTCCTGGTCTGTCTTCCTGTGCGCCCTGGGCATTGAACCTGTCACCCTTTGTCTTTGGGGGACCTACATGGGTTTAGAAGATCCCCCCTGGCTGTGCTTGCCCCATCAGCTTGTTAGTACATCCTCTAGCTGGACCCTCTGAAAGAGTAGTTCTCAACCTTCCTAACATCTTCACGTTGTGGTGACCCCCAACCATAAAATTATTTTCGTTGCTACTTCATAACTGTAATTTTGCTGCTGTTGTGAATCGCTATCAGAAATATGTTTTTTTCCGGTAGTCTTAGGAGACCCCTGTGAAAGGGTCATTCGACCCCCAAAGGAGTCACCACCCACAGGTTGAGAACCACTGCTCTGAAAGGTTTGGTGCCACAGGTCAATGAAGGCAGGAAAGCTAGGGAACCTGACAGTAGGATCTATGCAAGGGACGAGAGGCCTGGAGAATAGATAAGGAAACTGGCCAGTGAGGGCAGATGCCAGGCCCTTGGGAAGATGGGGATGGTGACACCCTTTACTGAGCTGGGGCACAGGCAAGGCCAGCTTCAGGGCATGAGATGAACATACTCAGTCTGAGCTGAGAGAGAAGTCCACCCGCACAGGAAAGGTCTGGACATGTGGGCAAACAGATGGTGGCCGAAGTTCGGGGGCACTTGGGAATAGGTGGAAGAGACAAAGGGCCCAAAGAGAATACTGGAGGACAATGGTCTTGGGAGGTCATCAGAGGAGCCCCCAAAGAATCTCCCAAACAAGGCCAACCTCAGAGAAGGCAAGATGGCCCAGCACGATGCTTCATCTCCCGGGAACCACTCTAAGGGCTCTGGGACCTGCTTATCACCTCTCTGAGGTCCCTGCTGCGCCGACTCTCTCCTCATCTAAAAGGTCCACCTGGCCCATTGCCATTGGTGGGGAAATTCCAGCAAGCCTTAGCAAGGGAGATGGGGAAGGGGCAGTGGATGTGAGGGGCTCTGGCTAGCTGGGAGCAGGTCTGGAGAGAGGTGGCCCAGCTTCTGGTTCACTCAACTCTTTACCACCCACAGGACCTGGGCCTCACCGACATCCCTTCCACCGACATCCTCTACAGGAACATGGCCTTCCTCAATCTGGTGGACCCCATCTCCTATGATCTGCTTGGCCCGGGACCTGCAGTGCCCCAAGATGGTGAGGCTTATAGGCAAAGACCACAGGCTGGGCAGTTTGGTTGACAGGGGTCAGGAGAGCCCAGGGCTGGGGGCAGGAGCCTGGGTCCTCATTTGGCTTGCTGCAGGGCAGGTCACTGCCCCTCTCTGGGACCTGATGTCAGTTTCAGCATATTAGGCTGGCCAGCAGCTGGGGCAAGTGTGAGCTGTGTTTTCCCAACCCTGAAAAGCCCTGTGCTGGGTAAACTGTTTCCTGAGGCAAGCACTGTGTACCAGGTCCCAAGACCCAGGCCGGACGTTGTATGGGGACCCTGCAGAACACAGAATGCTCTGACAAAAGCATTGGTTGACCCAGACTCCCAGCCTCAGTCCCAAGACCGAAAGAGAGCCACTATCCCTGATCCACATGACCCCCCTTTTTTTTTATCCTCACCCGAGGACATTTTTTCCTTTTTTTTTTTTTGGTACATGCCCTTAGCGGGAACCAAACCCGGGACTCTGGTCCACAGGCCGATGCTCCAACCGCTGAGCCAAATCAGCCAGGGCCATTTTTTCCATTTTTTGTTCAGATAGAGTGGAAAGGAGAGAGAAGGAGAGAAACATCACCGTGAAAGGGACACATCGAGTGGTTGCCACCAGCATGACCCAACCAGGGACGGGGACAAACTGCAACCGAGGTACGTGCCCTTAGCGGGAACCGAACCCGGGTCTCTCTGGACTGCAGGCCGATGCCCTAACCGCTGAGCCAAACTGGCCAGGACTACACATGACCCCATTTTGTAGGGATACCCTTGGGAACAAGTCCTTGCTGCTTCCCATAGCTTTGAGAGCCACAAGCAAGTTTCTTCTTGTGTTGAGTGGTGTCTGCCACTAGCAGCCTCTACCCTCTTCCCCCCATGCACCCCGTCTTCCCAGAACCTCACTCTGATGACACCTGCAGACATCCTGCCATGAGAGTGGAAGGTGCTGTGCTCCTGACACACACAGCCTGTGGCCAGCCCCCAGCTCCAGCCCCCATCCTTAGGCACAATGAGGCCCGGGTGAAACAATGGTGCCCGCTCTGAGCCCTGCCGGCTCTAGGACTCCCACATCTACATGCAGTTGTCACCGAGGGTTCTGAGGTAGCCTAGAGCCTGCACGGTGACCGCTGGGGCTTGCTGCCACTGTGTGCACTCGCAATTAATGGACTGGATAAAGAATGTGTGGGTAGAGGGCATGCTCAGTGCCAGCTTGTGGAAAGCAGGGCACCCCTATTTTCTGCCCAAGCTGAGCCTCTACAGGGGCCACCTGGGACTAGGAGAGAGCCAGATGGTGGTCCTGCAACATGTGAACCCTCCCAGCCCTGGCAGCCCAGACCCCGGCCCCACAGGCGCAGTCTAGATGAAGAGTGAGAGGAAGAAGAGTGTGCTGACCTGGCTCGTTCCTATTCTCTGGGGGTGGCGTCAGTGGAGCAAGGCTCCCTGGAGGGGCCTGGTCCTGCCTCCCCTGTGACAAGTCCCTGGGGAGCGCTGAAGGTGGGCAGAGAGCCGGCTGATAGCCTGAGACGCTAGCCCTGGGCCTGAGGACAGGGAACAAGGGCCCATTGTTTGGGTTTCCTCCCGCCGGGCACTGCGGGCCTCAGACCAGCCTGTCCAGCTCCCAGCGGGCAGCCTTCCCTGGCTCCCTGCCATGCCATAGCTGGATGGGGGTGGGCAGGGGAGACTGGTGGGCAGCTCAGTGATCCATGATGAATGAATGACTACTCTACCGCACACTGGGGTCCTCAGGGCCCAGAGTTGTGGGAGAGACGACCTCACCCTGCTAGCACTGTCGCCCCACAGGACTAAGCTCTGGAAGTCCTCGGATAAGATCTGCCGGCAGCTCATCTACCACCACGCCCCTCACTCCACACGGCAGCAAGGGTCCAGCCTGCCTCGGAAGAAGACCCAGAGCTGGTCAGGGGTCCAGCCACACACAGCTCACCTCACGCCCCTCAGGGTCCCTTCCCAGGCTGATGTGGAGAGGCAGGGCCAGCCCTAGGGGTATTCAGGCTTCTCTCAGGAAGAGGCTGGAACCTGAAACTCCATCCTGTGGGCCCCTCATCCTCACCTGCATCATGGCCCCAACCTTGGAGGCCAGTCTGGCCAATGGCAGCAGACACTCCCCAAGCCAAGCTGCTCTCTGCAGGACCGCCTCCTGCTGTTCACTGCCCAGGCCTAATCTCTGGCCTGGCACCAGGCCTGGCCCCCTGGACCAAGTTGACCTTAGCAGGTATGAGGGAGACAGATTCTGGGTTATGATTCCCATTTCACTAGGAAGGAAACTGAGGCAAAGTGGTTTGCCCAAGGCAAACCCACGGCCTGATTTTCCTGCATCCCTTTGGGAGTTCTGTGCCAGGCGTCCCCGGCTGGACTGATGGCTCACTCTGCCTGGGATCCTCCTCTGTCACTCCATCCGGCCTCAGGGCCACGCACAGCCAAGAACTGGCCACAGGCACCTAGATCCAGAGGCCCGGAACCACAGCCCCAGTGCCCTCCCCTGGCCCCCCTCAGGCCTGGTGGCCCATGCTGAGCCTGGAGCCCACAGGTTGTCCCTGTCGTGGCAGGTGGGCACCCTGGCGGTGGGCCCACTGCTCTCAGCTCCCAGTCAGGCCTGTCTGCCTAGTGGACCATGTTCAAAGGAGAGGAGAGACCTAGAGGGGTTCCGGGGTCAGCAGGGGACCCTCCTCAGTCTCTAAACTTCCTTCACAGCTTAGAACACAGAGAACCCTTTCCCACAGCAAGCCTGAACCCCAACCCCCATGCCCAACACCTCCCTTCTCAAGACCCTGGGCCTGTCCCTTCTCCAGCCCCAAGGGCTTGGGGGACCAGCCTGAGACGCTGTCATCCTCATAGGAACGTCTATCCTTACCCTCAGACGGTTGACCTTAGAGGAGTTACGTGAGAAAAACATGTGGGCTCCTTGACTTGGAGACCTGGCTCCCCACTTATGGGTGTGTGACCATGGAAAAGACGCATCACTTCTCTGAGCATCCGTTCGCTCCTTTGCAGAATGCAGTCATCTTCCCTAAGCCACTGGGCTGGCATAAAAATAAGTGAGACAACTGTCACACAAAAATGAATGTGACATTTGTGGAGATGAAGGTAAGCAGTAGGATTTTAATAATAACAGCTCATGGAGCCTTAACAGGTATGTATTTAATCCCCATAACAGCCAAGTCTCCTTTCACCAAGGGGGAAATTGAGGCTCAGAGAAGCTCCAAGCACTATAAATGGCCACCCATTTAGAAAGTGGCAGTTTGATCCCATCTTGGCTGGACTGAAGGGCCTGGGCCTCCCCATCTCCCTGGGCTGCCTCAATAGGTCACTGTCTTCAGCCAGTGGGCCCTGCCTGGGCCATCCCCACCTGCAGCCTCCTCACGGCCTCTAGAGCAGCCTCCAGAAGACTGCTGGCAGGGGAGGCTGGGAGCCTTTCAGGGGTCCCGCTGTCGGCTCGGGGTGTGCAGCACATAACACGCTTCCTGGGCGGCCAGGGCCGGGCTCGCGGTGCTGGACCTGAGCTTCGCAGAGCTGAGCGAGAGCTGCTGCGCCTGCTACTGCCCGGCCTCTGGACGCCGCCCCGCCTCTCCCAGCTCCTGCTCAATGGCGCTGCCGCCTGGGAGCCCACCGAGGCTGTCAAGGACACCGCCAAGTTCACTGCGCTGGCCCGCGTAGACCTGGGCAACAACGTGGACGTGGCCTCCCTGCCCCAGCCCCTCCTCGTTGGCCTGTGCCGGCGGCTGAGCCAGCACACCTCGCCCCGACCATCTTCGAGAGCCTGGGCCTCGAGCCTGAGGGCAAGGTAGCCAGGGCCACCGCTGCTGCCGCCACCTGGGGCTCGGCCGCTGCTGGGCCAGGGTCTGAACCCCAGGCCTGCTGCACCCGGTGACCCGTCCCCCACTCTGGCTCTTGCTACCTGACTGTCAGTGCTCCCAAGTACATGGGATGGGGGTGATGGAGGCCCCAGAGGTCCCCCACGTTCCCAGAGATCCAGTGCGCAGTCTGGGATTAATGGGTGGAAGGAGAATGGGCTCATTAGAGGCTGGATGGTCAGCCCAGGCTGGGGTCTCAGGTTTCCTTAGGAGGGTCCAGCACCCATTGTGCAGACTCCACAATAAAGGGTGATGCTCCCTCTGCCTCAGCCTTTCTGCATCATGGACACAGAGTGGCAGCCCAGCTGTGGGGGCGGGGAGAAAGGGGAGCCAGTTGTTCAGGGACCCTGCCCATCCAAAAGCGAGGGACCAAGCTCACACTGATCTCCCTTCAAATGCTCCCTGGGCAGAGACCAAGGTGTAGGGGTCAGATCCATCTGCGGGCATGGGAGTTAGAGAAGGCCTCCAGGGACCGGCCCTCACAGCTGGGCAGGGCTTAGCAGGGCTGGGGAGGGCAGATGGGAAACCCAGAGAGGAGCAGAGGTCGGAATGGAGCCCACAGCAAGCCCGTGCCTCCCTTGGACTGGGCACAAGACTGCTGACGGAAGGCAAAGCTGTTCCCTCACAGAGCGCTGCACTGCCCTCCAGCCCTAGCTCCCTCCCCCAGGCCTCCTGCACTTGGTGAGTGGGCAACTCCACAGGGCTAGGAAACACATCAGACCAGAGGTGGAGAGCTTCTGTGTTCCCTCCAGGCCCTGGGGGCCCATGTGCACAGTCCTCCCCTTTGGGGACCCCAAGAGAGAATGCACAGCGACGAGCACAGCAGCAGCAGCAGGCTCCGTCCAGTAGTCCAAGGGCTGCCCCAAGAGGTGGCCTGCTCCCAGCAGAGGGCTCCCTTCCCCCACAGGCACCGTTGGTGCAGCCTCTGCACCAGAAGCCCCCAGTGCCAGCGTCACCCTCATGGCCCTCTGTGGAGAGCTGGAGTTCAGCACAACTAGGTGTCAGGCGGGGCTGCGACAGAGAAATGTAGAGATTTCCGGGGGGAAACTCTGACCCAGAGTGAGCATGCCAGTGGTCTAAGGCTCCTGTGCAGAGCCAGGAGGTCAGGTCTGGGGGCAGAGGGATCCTGCTAGATGAGGAGAGACCCAGAAGTAGAGCAAGCCCCATGGGCCAAGGAGAAGATGGGGTTCCTGGTCTAGGTACCCCAGCACAGCAGCTCTGACCAGGGGACTGTGAGTCAGCACGGACTGCAGCACATCCTCAGGCGAGCTGGATAGACAGCAGCCTCTTGGGCCAGAGGGAGACAGCCAGGAAGGGTGAGCATAGGAGGGTTTGGTCCCAGGACCAAGCAGGAGGCCGTGAGGAAAAGGAGCGCCCCCTTCTGTGCCGCCTGCCCTGCCCTCAAGTCAGGCCCCACTGGTCTCACACTTTCCCAGGAACCCTGATCTGGGGGTGGTGGGAAGGGTACATAGAGCATCCTGTCAACCCAGCTCTGCTCCTGACCTGCCGTGAGCCCTGGCCAGGCCCTCCCCCTCAATGCCTTGGTCTGTCCTTTCCCCCTGGGGTCCTGCCCCTTTCAGGCCACCTTGCCCAGTGGCTTAGGAGCCTCAGAAGCATCTCCCTGTGCCCCCACCTTGGAACGTGGGGCTGAGGCTTCCCTGAGAGAGGCAAAGCAAGGTTGGGAGGTAGAAGGGGCCAGTAAAGAGGATAATAATGGGGAAGCGGCCTTGGGTCAGGCAAGCTGATAAGCCTCTTATCATATGCACGCAGCTGAGCTCTCCTACGACTCCTTGCTGGAGAAATGCCAACCTCCCTCCCACCCTCCCTCCAGCTCTCAATCCCTGCCCACTACTGGCCCGAATTCAGCCCACAAACCTTGAATGTCACCTCTCGGAGAGACTCCTACCGGGATGGTGTGAGGACCTGAGCTGCGTGTCTCCAGGCAAACTCGGGAGAATCCAGGCAGCGGCAGCTGGTCTCAATCTCTCCCCGCCTCTTGGACAGAGACACTCAATGCAACAGCCGAGCTGGAGCATGAAACAGCTCAAGAGAAGAGGGTTGGCCTTGTTGCCATGCAGGTATCCACAGCCCCCTTGAGGGGCCCCCACATTGGGGCCTCACAACCACCAGCAAGGCTATGCTACAGGCACGGACACTCCAGGAAGTGGGGGCTTGTGACTCACACAGGCTGGTGGGCAGAGAGTGACCGCCAGGCCGGCTCCAGCCCAAGTTCCAGGCGGAGGAGACAGCAGGTGGGCCCAGTCAGGCCAGTCCTGACCCAGTCCCTCTTGGAGGCAGACGGGCCACGTCTCCTGCTGGTGGTGTGGTCCTCTCAAGGCCTGTTCCCTCATCTTGGGAACTGGGTACACCAAGCCTCCCCTCATCCTGCTGGATGGAGCGAGGATGACATAAGGTTTGGAAAGTGCCTGCTGCGTGGGGGGCACAGAGCTTGTTGGTGTCAGGAGGGCCTCCACCCAGGGATCTCTGGGTGAGAATGGCAGGAGCCCAAACCTTCAGGACTAGGCAGGGCTGAGCCATTTATTTAACAACCATTTCCAAAGCCTTTCTCTGGGCCAGGTACTATTCTGATGGCTTTATACGCCTTTAATTCTCTTTGCACTTCAAGGAGGTGGGTGCTGTTACCACCTCCATTTTGTAGATGAATGAACTGAGACAGGGAGACGTTAAGTGACTTGTCCGAGGTCAAAGTCTAGGACTGGAGTTGCTGGGAGGCACGCCAGGCTGCCTGGCTTCAGCCTGCGATGCTAACCCTGCATGCTCTGCCTCACAGCCACCCTGGGGGTTGGGACTCACTGCAGCTCTGGAGCAAGCCCCTGCCCAAGAGCCACTGCAGGCAGGAGACCACCACGATGACATCCTGTGGCAGGGAGCAGACCTCCAGCTGAGCTGCCCCTGGAGTAAGACCAGCCAGGACCTCCCTGGGCCTCAGTTTCCTTGTGAGCAAAATGGGTCTGAGGAGAGCAGTGAGGATCCAGGCTCTGCCCTCTTCCAAGAACTAATGCGGAGTAGCCCATCCTTGTGCTCAGAGTGCAGGGTCCACGCCCCCTGCTGGCAGTCTGGCTGGAACAGCTGCAGGTGCCGTCACCTCTCAGGGCCTCAGCCTCCTGAAGCCCACACCGGCCTTGCCAAGATGTTGAGAATATCTACAGGAAACATGTAGAAAAGATACCCGTGCTCCACATTCAAGTGGACATAGCAAGTGATACAGTTCAGTGTGCAATATGACACATTTGTACTTGTGTATGTATCCATGAAGCTACCACCACAATGAAGTCTGCAAACAAATCTATCACACCCAAAAGTGTCCTTGTGCCCCTTGGTAAGGCCTTCGCCCTCCCCCTACTGCCATCCCCATCCATAAGCAACCATTGATCTGCTTTCTGTCCCTATAGATCAGTTTGCATTTTCTAGAGTTTTAGAAATATAGAATCACACACAAGTGCAGTCTTTTCTGGGTGACTCCTTTCACTCAGCATTATTATTCTAAGACTCCCACAATGTTGTTGCATGTATCAATAGTTCCTCTCTTTTTTTGCATTTATCTTCAGACAGAGCAGGAGGGAGAGGGTGGGGAAGAGGGAGAAGAAACATCGATGTGAGAGAGACACATCGACTGGTTGCTACCTACACAACCCCAACCAGGGCCAGGGACAAACTGCAACAAAGGTACATGCCCCTAGCGGGAACCGAATCCGGGACTCTCCAGTCCGCAGGCCAATGCTTTTAACCACTGAGCCAAACCGGCCAGGGCAATAATTTCTTTTTCTTTCTGGGTAGTATTTGGTTGGATGGATGCCCCACAGTTTATCCATTTACCTGTTGATGAATATTTGAATTGTTTCATTTTTAGCTATTACAAATAAAGCTGTTATAAATATTCATGTACAAGTTTGCATGAATATAGAATTCCTTTTCTCTTGGATATTTCAATATGGTTGTGTTTTCTTGAGAATCTTTGCCTGCTTTTGGATGATTTTTTTTCCCCGATATTTTGTATAGATAAAGTGGGAGGGAGAGAGATAGAGAGAGAAACATTGACGTGAAAGGGACACACCGAGTGGTTGCCACCCAGCCCTGGTTCGGGGACAAAATGCAACCGAGGCATGCGCCCCTAGCGGGAACCGAACCCAGGTCTCTCCGGACCGCAGGCCAACGCTCTAACCTGTGAGCCAAACCGGCCAGGGTGATTTTGATTTTTTTTTTTTGGTACGTGCCCTTAGCAGGATTCAAACCCGAGACTCTCTGGTCCGCAGGCCGACTCTCCAACTGCTGAGCCAAACCGGCCAGGGTTTTTTTCTAGATTCTTTTTTTTTTTTTTATGAATTTTTATTTATTTTTTTGTTACAGATATTTTACCTTTTTACCCCATTGGCAACCCCCCCCCCTCCACCCTGTCCCCGGCTTAGTTGTCCATGTCCATTGGTCATGCATACATGCATATAAGTTCTGTGGTTTATCTCTTCCCACCCCCCCACCCCCCATCCCCTCTTCTGAGGGATGTCAGTCTGTGCCCTACTTCCATGTGTCTGGGTCTACTGTATCCCTCAGACTGTTATGTTCATTATATTCCGTATATAAGTGAGATCATGTGGTATTTGTCTTTTTCTGCTTGGCTTCTTTCACTTAGGATAATACTTTCCAGGTCCCTCCATGTCGTCTCAAAGGATAAGAGATCTTTCTTTCTTACCGCTGCATAGTACTCCATTGTGTGTATGTACCACAGCTTTTTTATCCATTCGTCTACTGGTGGACACTTGGGCTGTTTCCAGATCTTAGCTATTGTAAATAGTGCTGCTATGAACATGGGGGTACATATATTCTTCCTGATTGGTGTTTCAGGCTTCTTAGGGTATATTCCCAGCAGTGGGATCACTGGGTCAAATGGAAGTTCAATTTTTAATTTTTTGAGGTAGCACCATATTGTTTTCCATAGCGGCTGCACCAGTCTGCATTCCCACCAGCAGTGTATTAGAGTCCCCTTTTCTCCACACCCTCG